GCTATATCGGACCATTCCAGATACTTGATAGGGTCGGAAATGTAGCCTATCGGTTAGCTCTCCCACTTGGGTTATCGGCAGTGCACAACGTGTTCCATGTATCAATGATCAAGAAATACATGCATGATCCTAATCATGTAGTGAACTATCAGTCCGTGGAAGTACAAAAGGACTTATCCTATGAAGAGGTACCAATTAGGATATTGGATCGAAAGGTGCATAAATTAAGGAACAAAGAAATTCAATTGGTCAAAATACAATGGAATAATCATGAAATAGAAGATGCCACTTGGAAAGGGGAAGAGGAAGCCAAAAACAAGTATCCAACACTATTCGCCCAAAAAGAAGGTAAATTTCGAGGATGAAATTTTAGTTAAGGTGTGGGGGATGTAGAACCCCAAATAATTTAAACACCTTAGTGGCACTAAGACATGAATATTGGATGGCTAAAGTATACTTTAGATTTTTAGTCTCATTTGAGGCCCATTTACGACAAAGAAAACATTCGATTTGAAAAATGATATCTAAAGAAAAGTTGTAACTCTTTGAGTTAGCTTTCCAATGCACTTTGAATTACCTCAATCGGATATCGAGAGAAGAAGTTATGATGGAAATACTAAAGGATGTATAGTATCAACCGAAGTACGCGAAATATGAAAAGTCAAATTCCTACACGATTTTCTAGCACCTTCTTAAACCTATAACTCCCACATAAATGGCACCCGTATTAATGAGTATTAGACCCTTCACTTACCCTCAAGTTGTGAGATTTTCACCTATAAATAGGCCCCAATGCATACACATTTTTCACACCAAGACAAAAACTTCTAAGCATAAAAGAGAGAGTTTTCAAGTCTAGAAAAAAGAGAAAGGAGAGGGAGGAAAATTAGTTTTTCTTAGAAGTTTTGGTGTAATCAAGAAGTGTTTTTCAAGCATCAATTCTCAACGGAGTGTTTTTTTTAAACATTAAAGGAGTGCATTTTTCAACAAGGTTCAAAGCATCAATTAAGGTAGGTAGAGGTGCAAAGTGTTAATTCGTGTTAAGTTATAAGTTTCTAGTAAATAAAGATTTATGTTAATGTTTGTATGTCTAATGGTACCTCCGGTACGGCATACACCTCCATGTCTAATGGTACCTTCGGGTACGGTATGTACTTCTAGTCGAGGCGTCGTGTTAAATCATGACTCTACGTGTTTGAGATTCTACTGAAAATCCTACTATGAAAAGGTTTCTAAAGTTACAGCTTTGAAATGTATAGCTTGATCACGAATGCACCAATGATATCTATTGAGTTTTTTTAACTCACGGGTTTAACTCCTTCTCTACACATTGATATGATTCTACCTTGAGCCTGGATGATGCAAAAGATGGAGAGTGGTACAATGAGCCCATGGAAAACCCAGTGAACAAGTTATTTAGATTTATTTTTGTGAACGTTTTCAATGTTATTTCTTTAAAGTATTTGAATAACGCTGAACGTGAGAACAAGTTGTGTTTTCTTCAAATAAATTACGTTTCATTTTTTTATTCAGTCTTTTATTTAAAGTATTCGAAAGGTTGTTGTTAAAATTATTATTGTAAAAATTAAGCTTCCGCTAAAACATATTCTCCTATGACTAAACCACCGGTTAGTTAAATAAAGTAAGTAGCGTTCCGGTCCACAAAGGGTCGGGGTGTTACACCATCCATTCATTATTGGGCTCGAGTTGGTTTTAACAATATCCAATTCATCATGAACAAAGTGTAGGAATAGCAACATATATTCCAAATATTTAAACATTCATTTGTATAAGTTTATTTTATAAAATGTCTCATGGAGGAGGTCCACGCATTTCCATATTTTGTTGTCATCTAGTAAACTGCTTTTAGAACCCCATTCACTTGTCTAAAAATAAACCATCTTGGAAAGAAACGTACTGGTTCAGCAGCCATGCATCAATTGCAATCATATATCATATTCTTAATGAATGGACGACATATAGTAGTTGGCTACTTTTAATTGAGGCGATTACAACTTAATTAAATTCACAATTGCACAAGTAATTAATTACTAAATAAATTGAAGCAACCCTTCGTGTAATTTATTTAATATCATCAAACCAGTAACTTATTCATTAAATATGCATCTTTTCATGTAAGCACTCGTTTGTATGCAAGGCAATTTTATTCGGTAACACAACTTATGGTAAAAGACCAATTCATGTCATTTCAAAAATGTGGCAAGAAACATCCTTCAACAACATGCACATTTTATTTAATTCATCAGAATATATTAAGACATTCTGGCTCCAATTATTTTTGCACAAATTCTATTTCATGGAGAACAGAACCATAAATATGAGTGCACAAACACCCAATCAAGATTCCTTATGCACAAACCACTTGTTTAATTAAAAGATGCCAGCAAATTAAAACTGCCAACTTTCTAATTGGTATCACAATTTCAGCAAGTACAATTATTTGGAATATCATATATACCATTAATTTAAGTGCTTAACCAATTGACAGTTTACAGATTCACATCTTTATACACAATTTTCAGAATTGCACACTATATAATTTCCAAGAACATAAATATAAAACGCACGAGAAAATCAACAAAATTCATCTTAAGATTGTTGGGGAATACACCAATTATGTGCATATTATATTCATAAAAGCATGCCGTTTATTTGCGTGAAATCGAAACGTAATTTCGACTTACCAAAATAGAATTTGAGAAGCAAAATAATAATATTTACCGAATCCGAATGCATGAATATGGATTCATCTTTTTTCGATTCTTGAACGAAAGTAAGTTATTCTTTGAATCAAATCTCGCAGAACAAATATGTAAATAATTTTAATCAGTTTTTGAAATCAAGTCATAATTAAGAGAAATCAAAAAATGAAGGAAGAAAGATGCAAGTGATGAATTTTTGGTCGAGGCAAGTGTTTGACACTTGGTCCTTAAGATGAATTTGTCCCGTATCGGTGCTAACAGTTTTTCGACAATCATCTCCCAAGATACAACGACCACGTCAAGCCATAAGAGCACTCCAAATGACTTTGACCAGCGAATTTGAACGGAATTCCCTCTCTACCAAGGAAATGCATGAAAATGCTATAGAATTAGAAAGGAGAGAATTACAAGAGAAGAATGAATGCTCAATGCAATTGGTGTACCCAAAATCATGTTCATATGGTTCTATTTATAGATGTAAAAAGGGTGCAAATGAAATAGTGTGGGCCAAAACATGAATACTTTCAAAAAGTTGCAACACTTGGCCAAAACCTGCATCCTTTCGAAAAATTACAACACTTCATTTCTTCCAACTTTGATCCGCAATTTCTTATTCATCCGGAATTGGTTTCAAGATTCCAAATATGCCACGACGATTTACTCGACGAGTAGAATAAGTTAGTCTATTTACTTTTGTAATTTGACCATCGGATCAAATCCGAATATTTGGTCGAAGTTGACACGTAGTCACACCTTTTTCATTTTTCACTTTTACACACCTTTTCACTTTCCAATTTTTGGTTAATTATTTGAACCAATTCCTACATTATTGGGCTTTCGTCCTACTTCAAATGGATCCATCCAGATAAATTCATGATCTGCCACTGTTACTGTGATCCCCCGACAAGTCAACCTTTGGGAAACAAAGAATTAAACTTAAGAATTTATGGTTTATTATTATTATTATTTACTTGAAAATCACTTTATAGCATTAATTGTCACACGACTAATCACTTGAGAGCATTTTCAATGGTGGTATAAAATTGAATGTAAATTGATATCTCCAAAATTTCTTTTGCATCCTCAATTCGTAGATTATCGTCGAATAAGTTAATTTTTTAAAATTCATTTTAATAATACTGTCGACCAATAATTTACTCAAAAGAGTAAAAATATTTTTAGTTTTCTATTTAAAATATTATCCACTGATAAGTTACATTTTTTAAACTCTCATTTTATAACATTAATTGAGATTGAACCAATTCTACTTATAGACACATAGCGGTGATTCTCATGTGCATATAATAGCTATACATGGAGATCCTGTCCAATTCTAATCAATTAAAAATTTATTAATGACACAGAAGAAATGGTTCATGGTAAATTGTACATTTGGTCCCAAGCTTTGACCAAGGTACCGATCTTGTCCCCTCTCAATTTTTCATGTGGCTTTTGTTCTCAATCTTTTATAACTTAGTAGATAGTCCTACATTTTTTAGACTCAATGACGATTTTCATCCGTTTTTGCTGGTAAAGTCAGTGTAAAAAGACACTGTCCATAATTTTAAATAAAAATAATAAAAAATAATAAAGAAGAACAAAAAAACCAACACCACAGGCACCCCTGCCTACCTAGAGCCATAGAGTCACTTCGATTTCTTGAAAGACTAACCAGCAGCTTGTGAATATTCATGTATTAATATTTTATGGAGTGTTTAAACGAGGTTACCAATATTTTCGATCTTGAGGTAGCTACCTCTTAAGCTTACGTTCACGTTTGACTATGTGCATTGACTGCTCCAACTCTTCAACGGCAAGTAGGCATTCATTATGAAATTGAGGGAGAATGAATTGTATAAATAAATTATTAATTTTTCATACTTGGTTTATTTATGTTTGTATTTGTGTTATGTAAGTTTTAAGGTTATAAGGAAAATATAATATTATGATAAAGATGAAATTAGCGGTAATGATTGACAATAACGTATGTGATTGTAGGACTTGGACTTTCCATTTTCTTTTCTTTTTAAGTTCTTGTCTTTCATTTATTTGATTTTATGTGCAATGTTATCTTTTTACACCATTTTGATAGCAAAAATGGATGAAAACCGTCTTTAGGACCAGCTCCGTTAATTTATATAAGATTGAGGACAAGAGCCAGACATAAATTAGTTGGGGGACAGAATCGCAATTTTTTCAAAGGTTAGGATCAAATTCTTCAATTTACTCATAATCCTATTTGAAAACATCGATGAAAACGTGAGGTCCATTATTGAATTCAACGGTTGACAAAATCAACTCGTACGACAATGTCGTATACCGTTGTCCTCGTTCGTATTTGCATATCCGACGCCTGGATTCAGATCCTTCCACATCAGAACCCACATTATACTGAAATTCACTGAAACAGAACGCGAATTAGTAGAGAGAGAGAGAGAGAGAGGTGTAAATCTGAAGGAAAATCTTAAAGCGAAACAATGAGAAAAGGGGATTGACAACGGTTGATTTCATTATAATACTATTCTTCAAGACAAAAAGCTCACTTTTTAGGTTTTTTTTTTTTTTTCACTTTATCACTCTATAGATACATATATATGATTAGTGCATGTACAGAGAAATAAAGGGTACATGATGAATAAAGCTAAAAAGAAAAGGGTTAAGAAAATTTGAATCTTTGAGCAAAAAGTGGAAAAAATATGGCTGACGGTCTCTGTTTCCTTTCTAAGGTACGTGTATTCTCAGTTATTAGCTTGTTTTCCTGATCTGGACACCTGAATATTCAAATTTATGTACTCATTTAGCTTACAGTTTAGGTTTTTCTAATGTCCGAGCATTCAAATTGAGGCAACCCCCCAGATTTCAGTTTTCTCGATTCATTCTTTCACATCTTTGATGGGCTTGCAAAATTAAATTTAGAGGATTTAAATGAAATTAATGTTAGTTATAATACTGTTGTTTGATGGGATATGAATGATCAAATCAAGCCCTTACTTTAGAAATTTGATTAAATACCAGACCCCTTTAGAATTTTTCTTGTTTACACCTGGTTAATATTTCAATCTCAATGGAGGTGAGCAGCGGCGGAATTGTTTGTTGGAAATTTATGTTGGACGATGTGGACGGATTTTTCTTGACGAAATGATATTTGGTCAATTTTCAGGATAGCTTGATTATAAAAAATCCGAAGAGAAATCCCCTGGTGATGAGAATGGTGGTTTTAATCTTTGTGATGGTCTGCGGGGTTTATATATGTTCAGTTTGTCTAAGGCAATATAGTGCACATTCCAGTGAACGTCTATTGAAAGTTCAAGTGGTTGAGAGGCCATGTGAAGCACCAATTGTCGAACCTTCAGAAAAACCCTACATGCATTTTCCCAAGCCGAAGACTTTCAGCAGGTAAGACAATGTAAATATCTACATTCCAATAATCAGCTGTAAGTCACTGTCGAATTTATTGATTTGTATTTGGTGGTTAATTAGGTCCGAGTGTGCATGCAATCCTGTGCGTTATTTTGCAATTCTGTCCACCCAAAGGTCCGGGAGTGGATGGTTTGAGACATTGTTGAACAGTCATATTAACATAAGCTCTAATGGGGAAATCTTCTCGGTTAAGGTTCGGAGGAGTAATGTATCGACAATAGTGAAAACTCTGGATAATATCTATAATCTAGACTGGCTTACTAGTGCCTCCAAGAATGAGTGTACAGCTGCCGTTGGATTGAAATGGATGCTTAATCAGGTGAGTACCATCTCCAAATTTTGCGACTTCTATCGTATGAAATAAACATCTGTGCTGGCGATAGTTTGTACTTAAATGCAGAGTTGCAGACAATAGTTACGTTCCACTTGATTTTGATAAGTATTGAGCAAATTGTTTAGTTAATATGAATATGTAACTACTCTTTTGTGGGTACTTCTGTCTGATAACTATAGAGATTGAAATAAAATGGTACAACCGCTGTTAAGGACTAGCCAATCTAATAGATGTTTACAGATTTTTGATGAGTATTCACCTGAAGATTCACGCCTTCATGTTTCTATGGCTATTTTTGTTACCAAATCAAAATATTTTGTCTCTATATCTACGGCTTGAGAATATTCTAGTTCATTTATTTTATTTTAGAGTACTGTAACTGCAATTTTCACATACTAAAGTTTTTCGAACCTTTGCAGATAGCATGTAATGAGATATTTGATTATGTATGGTACAGAGGAGAAACCTACCTGTGGTCCCATAATTAATCCCCATTTTCTTGAGATTATCATAATAATTCTCTACGAGGGATAAGGGCTACTGTAATTAATTTTCATGACATTAAAGACAAAGCACAAGGGCAGAAACCTTTTCATCAACTTGATTCCTTTCCTTCAGTTTCCTGTGTGGATGTTTGGTTTGTTCATTTTATTTTCATTTTTAGGTTGGGAGGTAGGGATGGGGCTTGGGGGAGGCTATGTCCATCCACATTTTCCAGCCCTTCAATCCCCCTTTTACATTACATCTTGGTTTACCAACTTGGGTAATTAAGTTTGTGTTAGAACTTTGATTTGCTTCTGGCTGTTACAATGTACTTATCTCCCAACTGTAAACTCACAAGGATTTACTCTGTATCTAGGAGTGAAATAGCCAAGGCATTCCTTAACGTTTTCCGAATTGTTGCAGGGTTTAATGCAACATCACGAAGCAATAGTGAAATACTTCAATACTAAAGGTGTTTCAGCAATTTTTCTCTTCAGAAGAAATCTTTTGCGCCGAATGATTTCAATACTTGCTAATTCCTATGATCAGAATGCTAAACTGCTGAATGGGACACACAAATCTCATGTTCATTCGACCCACGAGGTACTTATCTTCCATGCTGTTCTCTCTGTGTCTCTCCATCTATGCCACGGCCTTACATATGTGTGAAAAAGAAAGAAGCAAATTTATGGGGGGCGTTTGTTTCTCATTTTTGTAAAAATGAGAATGAAAAATATAGTCGTTATGGGCCTTACACAAGAGATAGAAATTCAAATTTGGTGGCTTGATGTGATGAATAACAGTCATATTTTTCATTTTAATGAGGAAAGAATGAGAAAAAAACAGGGGCTATATTTGTCTTTTGAAAGTTAAACTATACTTTCTTTTTGCAGGCCGAGATACTTGCTAGATACAAACCTACACTCAATACAACATTGCTGATACCCAATCTGAGGCAGGTGGATGAGATGGTTATGAAATCTTTAGAATATTTCAAGAGCACTCGACGTTTGATCCTTTACTACGAGGACATTATAAAGAACGAAACTGTAAGACATCTAATATCATGTTACAGACATCTAATATCATGTGGCAGAAAATACGCACCCATTTTTTCTGCTGTACTCAATTTTGTGTGTGCTCTTTCTCTCTTCAGAAATTGATGGATGTTCAGGATTTTCTAAAGGTTCCACGAAGGAACCTGAATAGTCGTCAGGTGAAGATACACCGGGGGTCCTTGTCATCTCAGGTTGAAAATTGGGGGGACGTTGAGAAGACGCTTAAAGGAACACATTATGAAAGCTATTTACAGGAGGATTACAAGATATAAATACGTGTATGCACGCCATGTGTATATTGAGCTTTTTTTTTTTGGCATATAGCTTATTCATTATTCTTTAACTAAAGAAAGGTAACAGGGCAACTCCCTGTTGAAATTTTGGCTAAAGGCACGTTGCTGCTTTTGCATTTTCCTGTTAGAAGTTATAGATATCACTTCATTTCGACACTGGAGATCTATTGTAGCTGAGTTGATTTAAGAATGAAATTTGTACTTTTCCTTTGTTCCTAAGATATTTATATGCCAACTACCAATTAAACCAACGTAACATGAAAGAAAGGGCCTGAAATAACAGGCTCAACCAACGAACACAGTTGCTACTAGAAAACTTGGTACTAGTGATGGACAATTCCATCGCTAATGCCAAAATTTCAGGGTAAGTTTCGCAGACAAGATTTTTTTACTAAATCTTGAAAGCTCGTGTCATAGTCTGTGAAAATCATTGGTGAACGTGAAAAATGTCAGTGATTACCGAGGAAACTCAGTAACAGAAAGCAATTTTGTTTTAACAATTGTTGACAAAAATTCTATAAGCGACAGAATTTCTATTAGTGAGGATAAATATTTCTCTCTCTCTTTTTAATATTTAATATTTTAAATTTTCTATAAGCTCGAAAGTGTCCCAACTACACTTTCATAACTCTAAATCCCTGGACTCATTACAGTCTCTCTTGTGATACTCCAATTTCCCCATAAATTGGTTCTTCCTAAACGAGTCATGAAAGGTATAGCGAACATACCCTGTTTCCACATTGGATTGAGAACAGCCATTGGAATGGCCTTTCTCTAACCACACGGATGTACTTCGTCGAAGAATATCCATAGTTGCTCTTGGATTGTTGCTACCATGCTTTCAGTTTGTTATAAAACAGAAGGAAGACCATGAAATGCGTATAAGACAGAAAAATATTATTTTTCTATTTTCACATTTACTTCATTCGGCAAATGACGGGCATTTTTAAGCCATAGGAACCGTATATTATTATATTTTATGCGGGACGAACATAAAATGCATTAGGATGAAAATACAAAATGACTATTTATTTATTTATTATTTCTTTTTTCTAGAGATTATACGATTGAGGTAAACCTTATCCACAAGCATATCCAGTCAGTCTGAATGAACGTCCCTTTGGACATTGTGTAGTTAGTTACTGTAGATGCCTGAACAGAATAAAACACGTCAAGTTAGACGAAAACAGGGATGAACAAGGCCGGTTGGCTGTTAAACTTCTAGTATCGTGTCTTCTTTTTGGATGATAATGAAACATTCATATGTTAAAGATTATCTTTGTACTATCTAAATGTCTTTAAAAGATTGTTTCATATGTACTATTGACCGAATAAGCGAAAATTCTGATAATTTGACACTTTCTTAGTGTTGCAGAACCAATATAAAGGGAGAATGACTTGATACTGTTGAAAAAAGAGCTGTGCACAACAAAGAATGAAAGGTGAATTTGTATTGTTTCTTTCTTTTTTAGGCCTTGTTGCCTCTGTACAATGTTATGGTGAGAGAGGATATTATTCTCTGCGGGAAATGATGAAGGCTCGGGGCTCAAAAGGATCAATGAATTATCGTACTGAGGATGACTATTCACCGGTATATGTAGCTCCCCAGGTGGGTTTGAAGGAAGCTGACAAGATCATAATGTTGCCAGGGCAACCAAAAGTCGACTTCGCTCAGTATTCGGGCTATGTAACTGTTGATCATAAGGCTGGTCGAGCACTCTTTTATTATTTTAGTGAGTCTGAGGATCCTTCTAGAAAGCCTCTAGTTTTGTGGCTGAATGGAGGTAAGTTCATGTGGCAGTTTTGCAATTCTGAGTATACCAGGTTGTCTCTTTTCATACCTCTGAATTCGTTTTTGCTTAGGACTCTCATTATTACCATACTTGGGACTGCAGGACCAGGGTGCTCGTCAGTAGCAGGCGGAGCAATGACTGAACTTGGACCATTCCGGGTTAATAGCGATGGTAAAACTCTATGGTATAACAAATACGCCTGGAACAATTGTGAGTACTTACATCCCTAAAACTAGCAATCAGCACTTGACAAAATTATCGAAAAATCTTGTCTATCATAATGTCCATTATGGTCTAATCTGCTTATCAAATGTGTTACTATTTATTTCAAAAAGTAATTCATTATGAACATTATGCTTCTTGAAATGCAGTGGCAAATGTTCTCTTCTTGGAATCCCCAGCTGGCGTCGGATTTTCTTACTCGAATACATCTATGGATTATGATGATAAACAGACTGCAGTAGATTCGTACACCTTTTTAGTGAACTGGTTGGAAAGATTTCCCGAGTACAAAACTCGGGATTTCTACATAACTGGAGAGAGTTATGCCGGTCATTATGTGCCTCAACTTGCAGATTTAATCCTCGAAAAAAACAAAATCACAAACCAAACGGTCATCAATTTAAAAGGAATTGCTGTAAGTTTTCCTGATATATAAGGCTGCCCATTTTACTTTGTAAACCTTTTTATCAAGAATTACAAATTTACATTAGGACATGATTTTCAGATTGGGAATGCATATATTGATCTTGAGGACCAGTATAATGGCATTTATGACTATTTCTGGACACATGCTATGATGTCGGATGAGCATCACGGGGAGATTGAATCAACGTGCAATTTTTCTTCATCAAACTCCATATCGACGGCCTGTATTGCAGTTCTTGATAAAGCAGATGCTGATAGAGGCAACGTCTTCTTTTATGATATTTATGCTCCCTTGTGTATTTCTTCGTCTTCAAATTCTCCCTCGGTATATTTTAGAATCAGAATTTTCAATAAGTTTTTCTCTCTTTGTGAAATTTGAAATTTAATGGACGAATTCCATTCTTCTCTAGAAACAGAGTTCAGGATTCGATCCATGCTCAGGGGATTATGTCTTCACCTACTTGAACACTCCTGAAGTGCAAAAGGCACTTCATGCCAATGTCACTGGAACTCCTGGACCATGGGACTCTTGCAAGTACTGCAAATTCATCATCTGAAAAATCACTTTTTTTTTTTTTTTTTAATGCAATTTCTTCGAAAATCTGCTTTATTCACGACTTGTTTTGATTAATTATTCCAGCGACACCATATTTCTTAATTGGAAGGATATGCCGGACTCAGTATTACCTACAATTAAGAAGCTGATGACTAGTGGACTTCGCATTTGGATCTACAGGTAAGTACCTACATGCTTATTTCAACTGCACTTTATCTCCATTGTAATATGTTAAACTATATAATTCCTTTACTTAAGCTAGAAAAATTGAGCATTATTATATACATACAATGAAATCAACTATGTGGGACTTTAGTGAATGATTTTAACTGAATTTATTGTAGTGGAGATACTGATGGTAGAGTGCCAGTAACAACAACTAAGTATTCACTTACAAAACTCGGGTCGCCAGTAAAGACTCCATGGTATCCTTGGTACCTCCATGGTGAGGTAAGAAAGAACTAGCTTTGAGCATGTTTGCATAAGTTAGGTTTTTCTTACTTTTAAGTGAAAAATGTTGCTTATTTTGGAACTAACTCCTAGCTCAAATTTTCCACTATTTTCAAGGTTGGAGGTTATGTAGTTGGATACCAGAATCTGACATTTGTGACTGTACGAGGAGCTGGACATTTTGTCCCGAGTTACCAGCCTGAGCGCGCGCTAACCTTCTTCTCATCCTTCTTAGAGGGAAAGCTTCCTCCAGGCAGAGCTAAATAAGGATGGAGATTAAGGCGAATAAAATGTTTTTATTGGTGAATGACTAAAGTTACCAAGTATTCAATATTCGTTGTCTTGAAAAAGTATAATTTCATTTGCTGTAGTGAAATGCTTCGTGTTCGAATTAATATTTGAGGTTGTTAGATTCAACAAATTGTGAAGTATAAATTATTTGATGATAATCAAATAGTTAGAATCTAAACTACAAGAATGGTATCTTTTGAAGCGTTGTTCTACTCTTTTCCTTTATTACTTTGATGCTGACTTAGTCAAAAAAAAAAAAAAAAAATAGTTGTTGATAAACTTATTTTCAGCAAGAAATACTTAATTTCACTTTTGAAATTTACTCCGGGAGTATAAACATATTAATCAATGTTATGGAACATTTGTAAAAGTGGAAAAGTAAGACATTACTCTTGAGGAATGTTTCTTATAATTGTAATTATACTGAACTTTTATTTTGTTCATCATCTGAGTACTAAAATCGGGTTCTTGATTCTAGTATTTGCATTCTTGTGATAAATTAATAGTGGAACACATGATTCGTGGGTGAGTCTCATTGTTTGATGAATGTATATTAGCGTTGTAAATATTTCTAGATAGCCTACTACAAAATAGAGGTGTAAAATGAAAGTGTAGAAAATATCCAATGCTTTGGGAGAATCAAATAAATTGCCAAGTCAACAAGTGTTATTGAGCCTTTGAATTTGTACGGTGGTCTAGACAATGTGAATTTTTTTCTCCGCCACGTTAACTTGACAGAGTCCCTTTCAACTTTCTGGATAAGAATTTTTTTAGACAATTCCTATTTTGCTTTTGTGGCAAAAATATTTTTGCAATCGGCGATTGTGTTGGAGATGCTCTGAACATCTTTGACGCTAATCTTTTCAAACTACCAGTCCCATTTCTGTACCAAAATTGGTAAACATATAAATTAACCCAAAAAATTTCCATCTATCGTCAAGTTTACATGATAGATTTTTGTATTTACACTCTCCTTTCTGCCAAAGAAAGTTCATATAGGACAAAAATTGTCAATTTTCTATGTTCATATTTAGTTCATTCAGCACAATACAAGCAAATTGAGCCATTAGAATCAAATATTAACATAAAATGCATTTATTACAAGCATATTCAGTCAAACTTAATGAATCTTCCTTTGCACATTGTCTGGTAACTATACACGTGTTAAAAGACCGCACCATCTTTGTTTATAAAATCATGGAACAGAACAAAAGAACATTAAGTTAAGCAAAACCGGGCATGAACTAGGCCAGCTGTGAAACTTCTAATGTCGCGTCTTCTCTTTCGCATGATAGTTTAATGTTAAAGATTATCTTTGTAATATCTAAATGTCTTTGAAAGATCTTTTCATAGGTATTATTGACAGAGTAAGAGAAAATTCTGATAATTTGATAATTTTTTTTATGTGTTACAGAACCTATATGAAGGCAGAATAATTCTACCACTGATATGAAAAGACCTGTTGATCAGCAAAGCATGACAGGGGCAATTATTTTATTTCTTTCTGTTTTAGGCCTTGTGGCATCAATATTCAATGTTATGGTGGGAGAAGATGATATATGACACCTAACTTTGGAGTTTGAAGAAGTGTTGGACAGAAAATTATCAAAGAAAAACTGCACTAGGGGCAATTTTGTCATTTGTCGCGACGGTGTCGGAATGGGCTAAAATTTAGCAGGTTGATTGGAAACGGCCCGAGAAATTGGACTCGGGATCCGAGATCTCGGGATTTTAGCCAAATTCCTTCGTTTAGGCTTCCGAATAATTAATTTCCGTATTTCCCGTTTTGAATTTTCGTTATTTTTTGAACGTTTTATTTTTTTTTCTATGTTTTAGGGTTTCTTGTAATGTCTATTTAATGGCTTTTGGAACGTTTTCCGTCATCATTGAACAATATACAAGTTTCATTCTTGGAGAAGTCCAATTTTCTTATTTCAAGATTTATGTTGGTAAATCTTTTTTTTTTCTTACTTCTGTTATGCGTCAGAAGATACTACTCCGTACGAGAAATGATTAAGGCTTGTGGCATGAAAGATCCAGTCCATTATCCTAATGAGAATGCGTCGACCGAGTATTCATCGGTTTATGTTGCTTGGGAAACCAAAAGTGGACTTTGTTTAGTATTAGGGCTATGTGACCATTGATCCTAAGGCTGGTCAAGCACTCTTTTATTAGTCTACTGAGTCTGCGGCCCCTTCTAACAAACCTCTAGTTTTGTGGCTAAATGGATGTAAGTCTCAGTTTTGATACTCTTAAGCATACAAGGTTGTTTTTTTAATATGAATCAACAATTATTTTTGTGTTGGACTAAATGGAGTCTAATCATACTGCATTTATACTGCATTCATTACGTGGGTATATTTGGAAATCTTAAATTTAGTAGGTCACCCTAATATTCCTATAATATGACACTACTACGAGGCAGTTTCCGTGCGCAAAGTGTAATGAAACAAATTTGTATTCTTCTTTGAAAACCTGCGGTGTATTGAACCACTCTAAGTCCATGTGTTCTTAGCTCGGTTTCATTTTATGGTTGTTTTTGTTTCTATCATTGCTCTTGACAGTTATGGATTAGGGCTCAATCTATAGCATTTTCTTTTCACAATCTCATTTTGCTACACTTGGGACTGCAGGTCCAGCGTGCTCATCCTTTTCAGGTGGTGCAATGACAGATCTAGGACCATTCAGAGTGAACAGCAACGGTAAAACTCTATGGTATAACGAATATGCCTGGAACAATTGTGAGTACTTGCATCTCTAAAACAACAATCACTTATGACGACATGTTTGGTAATGTGGATTAAAAAAGATGTTAAACTTATTTATTGTATTGTCTAGTACGGTCTAATACTTTGTAACTAACATGCAGTGGCAAATGTTCTCTAATTGGAATCCCCAGTTGGTGTCGGATTTTCTTATCCGAATACATCAATGGATTATCATGATAAAAAGACTGCAGCAGATTCATATATAGTGAACTGATTGGAAATATTTCAGGAGTACAAAACCACAAGCTTTTACATAACCAGTGCACAATGAAAGCTTTAATTTCACGAAATATTACACTGCCAATTTTATTTTGTAAACATTAACCAATAACTAACATTTTTCAGATTGGGAATGCATATATTGATTTGGGGATGAGGATAATGGCTTTTATGACTATTTCTGGACACAAGCTATGACGTCGGATGAACATCATGGGGTGATTGCTTCAACGTGCAATTTCTCTTCGTCAAACTCCATATCAGCAACCTGTAAAGCAGTTCGTGATAAAGCAGATAGGCAACATCTTACGTGACGATATTTATACCCCCTTGTGTACTAATTTGTCTTCAGATGTTCCCTCGGGGTGTGTGTGTGTGTGTGTGTATATATATATATATATATATGTATTTATTTTTCTTTTTCTGAATAGAATTCAATGCATTACCTTTCAATGTTCTCCCGAAACAGAGTTCAGGATTTGATCCATGCTCGGAGGATTACGTCTTCACCTACCTAAACACGCCTGCAGTGCAGAAGGCACTTCATGCCAATGTCACTGGAATTCCTAGAACATGGGACTCTTGCAAGTACTACAGTTCTCCATCTGAAAACTCACTTTTTTGGACTCAATTTCATTGGAAAACTGCCTTATTCATTACTTGTTCTGATCAATTACTCCAGAGACACCATATTTTATAATTGGAAGAACATGCCGGGACACAGTATTACCCAAAATTAAGAAGCTGATGGCTAGTGGAATTCCCATTTGGATCTACAGGTAAGAACCTATATGCTTATTTCAACTGCATTTTTCTCTCCACTATCATACGTTAACTACGTTTCCTTTACATAAGCTAGGAAAGATACAGACTGTAAATTTATGATACATATTTATAATTATGTTACATGATGTACATATTAAGTGCAAATCAACAATGCAGTTCTTCAGTGACCGATGTTAACTACCTTTATTTCAGTGGATATACAGATGGTAGAGTCTCAGTAACAGCAACTCAGTATTCACTAAAAAACTCAGGGTGCAGTAAAGACTCCATGGTACTCTTGGTACCTCCATGGTGAGGTAAGAAAGGCGCATGTTTTGAAAAGATATTTCCCTTGGTACCTCCATGGTGAGGTAAGAAAGGTGCATGTTTTGAAAAGATATTTTGTACTTTGGTTATTACTTTTAAGTAAAAGATGTTACTTATTTTGAAAGTAATTTTTAACACTTGTCCATCTCTACTTATTATAGCATCCTAAGAAGATTTGTCTTATTAATTTGGGGTTGGAGTTTACGTCGTTGAATACCAGAATGTGACATTTGTGACTGTGGAGTGGAGCAGGATATTTAGTCCCTAGTTACCAGCCTGAGAATGCAGTAACCTTCTTCTCGTCTTACTTAGAGGAAAAGCTTCCTCCGGGCAGAGCTAAATAAGGTCGAGACCAAGGCAAATAAATTATTTGAATTGGTGAATGAATGAAAATGAGAATGTGAAAAAGTATAATTTTATTTGCTGCACTCAGATGCTACTTGTTCGCATTAATGTTTGTTAGGTTCAACAAACTGTGAAGTCTAGAAAGGCAAGCCAATCCATGACATGATTGCCACCCTAGAGCTGGATGACTTGACCCAATTTTCACTCTTATCCCAATTATAGTAAGTGCTTGTGTGGGAAAGCTTGAAGAGTCGATAAAAAGTCAAGTTCAAACTCAATAATTAATTTTAATCATACATTTCATTGGACCCACAACTTTCATCAACTTTTCAATCACACATTTCTTTTGTAAAACACGATGGGGTTTTCAGCATCCACACCAGATTTAGCAGAACTGACAGATTTAGAATCTTCCAAAGAAAACGGGTAGAGAATATATCACATCAAAAGTTGAAGACACGAAATTGCAAGATAGATTAGTAAAAATTAAATTTGAACTGCACGAGGTTGAGAAGTTGAAGCTTTCATATTATTATAACCCCAATGTTTCATTTGCAGCTATATGTATGCATAGAACACAAATGAATTATTTATTGTTAACACAGAGATCAAGATAAAATTTCTCCTATCAACCACACAGTTACAAAATGAGATTAGATTTACAAGTACAACAATTAAGTTTTTTAAGGATGGACCGAAAAAGAAGCTGCAAGGACACCATGATACTGCGTATTTTGCACACCGCTTTGAATATGCCCTTTCAGCCGCCTAAATTTTTCCAGGACCAGTCCTATTTCTGCTACCAAACAAGCAATCGGATATTACATGATCTCTACTTGGAATCCCCAGCCAGACTGTATCAACCAAGAAAAAAGCTAAAATCTTATTTATTTTTCTGCCTTAGTATGTTATAATACTGCGTATCAAACACCAGATTATGCTTCTTGAAATGCAGTTGTAAATGTTCTCTACTTGGAATCCCCAGCCGGGGTTGGATTTTCTTACTCGAATACATCAATCTATAATGGAGACAAAAGCATTGCAGCAGATTCATATACCTTTCTAATAAACTGGTTCAAAAGATTTCCAGCGTACAAAATCAGAGATTTTTACATAATTGGAGGGAGTTATGCCAGTCATTATGTGCCTCAACTTGTTGATTTAATCCTCAAAAAGAATAAAATCCCAGACCAAGCTGTCATTAATTTAATATGAATAGCTGTAAGTTTTCTGAAATATTACTGCTCCCTATTTACTTAGTAAACATTTTATAAGAATTAACATTTAACGAGAGGATATGTATTTTAGATTGGGAATGCGTATGTAGATTTTGAGGATGCATATAGTGCATGGGCCGATCTGAGTCGATCGAGGCGTGGCCTGGCGGAGAAAAATAGAACTACTTCTCCGTCGCCAATTTCATAGATATTTTGACCAAGATTTTCTTTATATCTTGAGAAATGATTGATGTGACGTTTTCTGCCATATGTCAACTCAGAATCAGCAGAATTAATTGCCCACCCACCTGGGAAGCGATTGACGGACGCTTACGCATAGACGCATCGTACCGTCCAATGATTACACGGTTCACGCACACTGGCGGACCCAAGGTGGGTCTTGATGGGTCACTTGACCCACTAACTTTAAATTGACTTTTTTTTTTTCGGGGTTACCTCAAAAATCAGATTTGAAGCTTTAGAAAATTATTTCTTTTGTATTTTCTTATGAAATGGAATTGGGGATTCCCTCAAGCCCTCCAAATTCTATCTTGTTTTAGCGATTTTATGGTAATGGATTAGTGCTGTGATTTTTGTTTTTGTTTGAACTGGAATGGAGTTGATAATATAATATTCAGAATTTGCTACGTGTTTTGTATTTTTCATTTGAGTTGATTGTTTTCATTAATCGTGATGGAAAAATAATTTAAACGCGAATATGCTTTTTCTTTTGATGATCACAATATTAATGAAAAGATTATTCGAGATAAAAGTGATGAAAATGATGTTGGAGATAAAAAAAAAAAAGATTACAAACTTGGTGATGTTTAAAATGAACGTAAATTTGTATTCTTTGCAAATTTGATTGTGCCTCATCAATTCAAAATGTCTGCGTCTGCCATTGGTCACGCATCCAGCGGTGCCTTTGCCAATAAATACCAAGGGTTTGGCCAAGAGCAAGGTAAGCATTCCACACCCAAGTAAATACATTTTTTCCTCTCTTCATTTTGAGTGTTGCACATTCCGGCACCGCGGCCTCCACCACCGTCAACTGACTTGATCGTCGGAGTTTATGTGATTGCCACCACCACCGCTGGTACTGGCCATATATGCCTAACTGTTTGTTACTGCACGCAAGGAGGGACGCGTAGAATAGCTCACCGTTGGCCACGTAAAGGGACCAACTCGCGGGGTCAACAAACATCATGAGGCAATTGCATCCAAGTGCAATTTTTTCTTGATCGACAGCTGTATTAGCAGCCCGCAATGTAGTTCTTGATCAAGCGAATGCTGATAGATGCAACATCTTCTTTTACAATATTTATGCTCCCTTATGTATTTCTTCGTCTTCAAATGCTCCCACAGTATGTTTTAAAATCTCGATTTACTATACATTTTTCTCTTTTTCAAAATGGAAATTTAATGCACTGCATTCCATTATTCTCTAGTAACACGGCTCAGGATTTGATCCTTGGTCGGGGTAATATTATGTCTTTACCAACTGAAACACTCCCGAAGTCCAAAAGGCACTTCATGCCAATGTCACTGGAATTCCTAGACCATGGGATTCTTGCAAGTAATTAATTTTACTATCTCAAAAATCACTTTTTATATACCATTGCACAAAAAACTTCTTTATCTACTATTAATTTTTATCAACTGTTCCAGCTACACCATATCTAGTAATTGGAAAGGCAGGTGAGAAAAAACCGGTTCTGAGCATGTTTTGATGCGTTATTTTTCTTATTTTTAAGTAAAAAAAGCTACTTATTTTGAATGCAACTTTAACAATGTCTAGTTCTTGTCAATCTCTGCTAAAGATAGCATCCTAACTCAATTTCCCATTATTTTCTAGGTTGGAGGTTGAATACCAAAATTTAAAAGTTGTGACTGTACAAGGAGCAGGACATGTTGTCTCGAGTTACCAGCCTGAGTGCGCTGTCACGGACCTAGTTTCGTTACACCCGAACAACTAGAATTGTGTGGCCTTAATGCTTGACAATTCCCGCACCTCACGAGACAACGTTAAGTCAGCCTTTCCACGCTCACAAATAATTTAACCAAGGAGGCTAAATTATACCCACGTTGAGAAGAGAATTTAGAAGTAAGGGATATATGAAAAACAAGTAAGGTCGGGAAACTTTCTTTATATAAATGAAAGGGAAAACTTTACAATCTCTCTAATGAATAAACTCACTTAACTCTACATCATTTACAAATGAGACTTCCATCTCTATTTATAGGCAAAACTTAAACCTCCTTAAAATCAAGTGGCATTACTTTACAACCTACGCTTAGTTGTTCACAACTCGTGCTAGTTGTTTACAACTCATGCTTAGTTGTCCTCAAGTGGGTAATCTTACAACTTTCCTTGCAAGTTGTCGCCAACTCGATCTTAGCTTGCATAGTAGATATTATTCTTGCCAACTCGTGCTTAGCTTTTATCTTTGATAATATCTTGCAAGTGGCACAAGTGGACAAGTTGTGCAAGTTGCCTACTTGCATCCCAAAATATCCCGCTGCAAGTTCATGTATTTTTCCTCCAAAATGGCTGGGTCGGGATTTAGAAAAACCTCATTAACGCCATGAAAAACTGCACAATTTTAGGCAGCCTGCATTCTGCCCATTCCATCCTGCTGCAGCGTGCTGTCCACGCTGTTTTGCAACCGCTATCGGGACGGATCGAACGCGACCGCGTGGGGTGTAAGTCACTCCCCTACTGAATTTGGCGACGCCCTCGTCGCCATGTAGTTCTGAAGCTCGGACTCAAATTGCCATAGATCTCCCTCATTTTCCCAAGTAGCTTCGGACTCGGGCAATCCCTTCCATTTGATTAAGTATTGAGTGCAAGGGGGAACACCTCTTCGTCTCACCATTCGATCCGCCAAAATGGATTCAACCTGTTTCTCAAAAGATTTTGTGACGATGGGAGGCGTTCTCTTTAATTTGTTCCTCCCTAGATCCTCCAAGTCCGGCCTATGTGGTTTCAACATGCTTACATGAAAAATCGGGTGGATCTTTAAAGTGCTTGGAAGATCTAGCCGATAGGAAACTCTTCCAACCTTCTCTAGGATGGGGAACAGACCTTCATATTTTCTAACCAAGCCCTTGTGAACTTTGTAGTAGGCTTTGAATTGTTGAGGCAACACTTTCATAAGTACTTGATCTCCAATGTTGAATTCCAATGGTCTTCGTCTCACATCGGCCCATTTCATCATTCGCTTCCGGGCTTTCTTCAAGCAAGATCTTGCTAAGTCCACATGATCTCCCCATGACTTAGCCATTTTGATTGCTCCGGGACTTCGGTTAGAATCACTAACCATAGTTAATGTGTGGGGCATTGTTGGTTGTCGCCCTGTTGCAAGCTCAAATGGACTATGTCCCGTGGATTCACTTTTCTGCAAGTTGTAGGAAAATTGGGCTATGTCCATCAACTTCGCCCAATCCCATTGATTAGCACAAACAAAGTGCCGAAGATAACACTCCAACAATGCATTCACCAGTTCCGTTTGTCCATCCGTCTACGGGTGAAAACTACTTGAAAAGTGTAAATCTGATCCAAGGAGTTTAAACAACTCCGTCCATAATTTCCCCGTGAAGCGGGGATCCCGATCACTTACAATATGCTTCGGCAACCC